GGGGGGGTGTTATGTAGATCATTGTGATAGGCTCTTCATTTCTCCCCCCACCTTACCCTTACCCTCCTGGTATTGCTACTCCCATTATTGGTCCTAAGGGTTTCATCTGTCCTGGATTCCCTGTGCTTCCAGCTCTTATCTGTGTACATCCTCTAGTCTAAATGGATTTGTAAGGTAGAATTGGGATCATGATGGGGGAGGGGGGGGGAGGAAGCATTAAAGAACTAGACAAAGTTGTATGTTTCATCGTTGCTACACTGCACCCTGACTGGCTCATCTCCTCCCGCCGACCCTTCTGTAAGGGATGTTCAATTGCCTATAGATAGGCTTTGGGTCTCCATTCTGCACTCCCCCTCATTCACATTGATATTTTTTGTTCACGCTCTTTGATGCCTGATACCTGATCCCATCAACACCTCATGATCACACAGGCTGGTGTGCTTCTTCCATGCTGGCTTTGTTACTTCTCAGAGAGATGGCTGCTTGTTTATCTTCAAGCCTTTAAGACTCCAAATGCTATTATCTTTTGATAGCTGGGCACCATTAGCTTTCTTCACATTTGCTTATGCACCCATTTGTCTTTGGCGATGGTGTTGGGGAGGTGAGTATCATGGAGTGCCAGGTTAATAGAATAAAGTATTCTTGCATTGAGGGAGTAGCCCAAGTGATATTTTAATCTAAATCCCAGAGCCCATTTGTAAGTACTCTGACAATGCTGCCTTGGCCCGTGTGATTTTGACAAGAGTGATGGATTCCCAATGTGTACTGTCTTCCTGGTTGGGTCACTCTCCCAAAGGGTAAATAATTGAATACAATACCTTCCAGTAATATGACTCCCACAAAAGCAGCCAGGGATGTAAGCACCAGGACGAGCAGGAAGAATCCAACTGGGATACTCGACATGGCAATGAACACCAGCAAGGTGAGGGTGAGAAAAGGATGCCTATCCAAGTACTGCCCCACGGGAGACTTCATAAAGGCAACCACCTGTAAGCAAAGGAGAAAGAGCCAGGATTGAAAGTCACGCAAGGTCCTGCCTCCAGTTGGAATGGATCAGCCCAAAGCGTGGGAAGAACAATCAGAGTTTGTAAAGTTGCCACGCTCAAACGAAGTCACCACAACAAGACTTCTCCCAAGACATGAGTCACAACGTCAGCATCTCCAGGCATCTGTGGGCAGGTAGCATGTGAGGGCCTCACCTAACCACAGGTCCTGTGGAAGGAGGGCAGAACCAGGGCTGGTTCTGCAGTTTAACACAGACACTCCTCAGAAGCTCTCCAAAGCACAGGAGTGTGCTGGTGTAACGAGCTTACCATCTGTATATGCTACAGCTGAGGTGTTCCTATCCGAGGTCGCTGGGGCACCATGAGGTAAAGTCCCAGGCATCTCAGTATCAGCATCACCTGCGAGTTTGTTACAAATGCAGAATCTCAGGCCCCACCCCAGCCTGTTAAATCAGAATGTGCATTTTAGCAAGATCCCCAGGTAATTTGTATGCTCATTAAAATTTGAGAAGCACAGGATTCAGTGCTTCACTGGAGTCAGTTTCCAAGTGGCAAGATCCAGCCCTTAAAAGGGAGGTCTTCTGACTCCAAATGCTTATATATAAGCTGCCACCAGCAGGTAAAAATACTTTTGTGCCACTGACCTCGATACCAAAGCCAAAGTCAGATAGGACGCTGCGTGCCTAAGCTGTAATTGCAGCTGATTTTCCTTCCTGTCAGGGAGGATCTGACTTGACAGAAGACTGAGTTTTCACGTGCGCCTGGTCCCAAGGTTGGGATTCCCCAACTGTCCTTAATTCAAACCCAACTCGTTGCCATTGAGTTCATTCGGACTCATAGCAACCTGGAGGACAGAGAACTGGCCCTCAAGGTTCACTAAGGCGGAAGCTTTATGGAAGCGCCACACACATTATTCTCCCATGGAGGGCGGGTCCCACAGCTGACCTTTCCTTGAGCAGCGGAGTGTCTTCACCACCTGCTACCAGCACTTTCTGTCTCGTCTTAGGCCCATGATCTCTCTCTCATCTATCAGGCCTGGTGTGTGTCTCTATTCTGTTAAGGCTCCATCATTCCACAACTTTCCCCCAACAAAGAAAGCTACCTTTCACCCACCTTTTACACTAGTTGTTAAATAAAAACATATTTCAATCTACAGTGATCATAGAGGCAATTCCCCTAAACACAAGCACTTCCTTGAAGGGTTGAATCCCCAAGGGATTTCAATGGTAAGAATCGCAGGGTAAGCTGTTAGGCAGGAGGGCCTTGCCGTTTGTGCTGATGGTGACCAGTGTGCAGGGCTGGCTTTGCTTAAATAGAAAAGGCTGCTCCAAGGAAAAGCCCCAGTCATGGTCTTGGGGCTTCCCCAGCAGAACTCAGGAAACACGGCAAATTTCACTTCATGTCAGGCCACAAAATGGCACAATGCCCACTGGCTACACTGTCTTCTACTCTGCCACTCAACAAAAGCTACCAAATACCTGGTTCTCCCACTTCTCTAGCCTAAAGCCACCCTCTGAGCTGGTGCTGCCCAGTTCAGACATTCGATTATCAGAGTCTGATGAGAGCCTCCTACAGTGATGGAGGCCAAAGGTAAGGAAAAGGTGAAGAAACCACAGGAGGAATGCAAAGGGCAGACTGTCTCAGGTCTCAAATGCTCTGCAGCTTTAGTCAATGTCTCTCGGTAAATGTATCATGTGTCAGCAGATGTACAAACTGTCCTTTCTGCTGTTTATAATCCCATGGGGGCAGGAGCATACCAGCTCTCCAGGAAAGAGGGCAGCAGGGGCACAGTAAGCTTGCGGTCCCAGCAAAGGGGGTGTGTGCGTGGCAAGAGCTGCAAGAGGATAGAACCCACAGGGTGTCACAGGTGCCAGGCTTAACAGTTTATATCCATCTGCACTGTCCAGCATAGTAACTACTAGCCACATGTGGTCCCGGTGGACTGGAAATGTGGCTAGTTTGACAGATGAACAGAGAATTTCATTTTAAAACAAACTTGATTCAGTTACTGGAAACTTTTAAAGTATGTTTGCAGTAGAGTGAAGTACTTCATGCGGCTTCTCCAGTTTTTGTAACTCCCTCCAAATGACTAGATAGAACTATGCAAACGTGAGGCGTCTGTGGTCATCCACCAAGGGGATATTAGATAGCTTGCTAATAATGCAAATAAGGTACATGGCACCCATGTGCAGTGGGCCCATGCAAATTAGGGTTTACGAAACTCTAATGTTTTATCATCCTATTGGGTTTAAAATAAGCTATTTCAGAAACAGAGGTGGGGGATCTCATTACTATCAAGAAAAGAGCCAGAAATGAATCATGCCCTTTGGACCCCAAATCCCCGCATGCTGAAACTCTGTAATCCAGAAGGCAGAGAGCTATGGCACCATAGATGGTGAACAACAGAAGAAGTAGCAGACAAGCAGTTGCAGCAGAACCAAGAGCATGAGACAGCGGTAGGCTCCTCACCCCGAGGAATGAGGAAGCCAAGTGTCTTCTGCCAAGAAGCTTGCCAGCGGAGTGAGGTGACTTCAGGCACTCACAAGTTTGCCAACCCACATATCTGAGTGCCTCTGGACCAAGACTTACTGGTGGGGTTGGTACTTAACAAGCAGAGCCACATATCCACAAACAAGGGCCACAAAGCTGAGAAGCTACGAGCTGAAAAGAGCTTTGTAACACTTTTCCAAGCAAGCCATTAAGACCAAGGGTTTGGGAGAACCTGCAAGCATGGCTGTGAGGTGGTTGTCCTGACCAAAGAACTGTATCCTAAGTATTCCTGATCCTGACTTGTAACCAGTTATTTCCTTAATAGATCCCATAATCATAAAGATGGTCTGTGGGTTCTGCATGGCCATTACAAAGAATTGTTAAATCTAGTAGAGAAGTAGAGTGCCATGGGGTGGGGGGGATAGTTTGGTGTCACACTGGATAAAAGGCTGGAGGTCAAAGGCCCGTCTGACCTTTAGTTCACAGCAATCAGTCTGGCACTGAGATTGATGCTGAATAGCTTCCTACCTGATGAACTCAGAGGATAACAGAGGCTGCCACTGCCACACAAGTTGGATCCATGATGTTTTTTCAGATTTTGTGAAATGTAAATGGAAGATCAAGTTTTCCAATGAATCTGAAGTGAGATGTACACTTAGTAAAGGAAAAAAGCAGGGACTATAGCTCAATCATATTTTATACTGATTACATGCTGCCATTTAAAAATATATTGGGTTAAAGAACATACATTAAAATTAATTTCATTTGTTTGTTTTTGTTTTCAATGTGACTACTAGAAAACTTAAAGTTACATGATGTGGCTTACATAATATTCCTATTGGACTGTGTTCATTTAAACTTCTTTTAAGGAAAAAAACACAGGGAACCCCTGAGAGCATTTGAGCAGAACTAGGGCATCATCTAGAGGAGCGCTGGTGGTGAAGGGTTACCCACTGGGCTTCAATCTGCACGGTCAGGTCGAAACCACCAGCCAGCTTCGAGGGAGACCCACGGGGCTTTCTACTCCTGTAAACAGTTGCAGTCTTGGAAATTCACAAGGGCAGTTCTACCCTGTCCTACAGGGTCATTATGAGTCCACATAGACTTGATGGCGGTGAGAATGATGTAATCAAAATGATCCCTGGTGGCCCAATGGTTAAGCTCTTGGCTGTCAACTAAAAAGTTGGTGGTGTGAACCCATCATCCACTCAGAGGGAGAAAGATGTGGCAATCTGTTCCGGGGAAGATTTACAGCCTTGGAAATCCTATGGGACCATTCTCCTAGAGCAGTTGTGTTAGACAGGGCTCTCTAGAGAGGTAAAACCAAATTACTGATAATTAAATATATTTATTTATAAAGATAATTAGATATATAATAAGAAATGAACTGTTAAATCATATACAGATAAATATATATAATACAAGAAATGAACAGTTAAATTATAAAGCACTACAAATGGCTCAGTGCAACTCACTCCCATGAGAGAGAGCTGTGTGAGACTAGCAGTCCTTCAAGTCTCATCTGCTGCCAGATCTCCCTCTATTTATAGAGAGAGCGAGGCTATCTCAGCACAGTAGCCAATCACAAGGCAGATCACCAACTGTCAACTAACCACCATCCCAACTGCCAGTCCCCAGCTCCAGAGATGTCTAACAAACTTCTGATTGGACCTTAAGCAAACACACAAAAAAGGACACTTTAAAAAAAAAAAAGAGTGGGAGCATTATTATGTGAAGATCAGCTAGCTCAGAGAGCTAATCTTTCCATCAGTTTTTTGAGCACAAATTGAAGCTAATTAGGTTGGTGTTAAGGAGTGAATAGTAACTGGGGACAAGTCTTGTCATTTATTAATAGAATCCAGAAAGCAAGGTCCAATCAAAACAAGTAGCTTCTGTGGGAATCTGCTAAGTGTCATAGGATTACAAGAGTTCAGAAATCCTGATTGGAAAACCAGACACAGCACACGTAAGAGCTTCCCACATACAACACATGTCCCTCATGTCTCTTCTATGCACAGCAATTGTGCCGCAGTACATCTATGACATATATGTCTTGACAGTCATAACACACCATGTTACTGGCTTAGCAAGACCCCTGATGGAACAGTGAGTCTATGCTGGGCTGCTAACCAGAAGTTCGTTGGATGAAACCCACCAATTGCTCTGTGGAACAAAGACGTGGCGGTCGGCCTCTGGAGGGCATAGCCTTGGAAACCCTCTGAGGCAGTTCTACTCTGTCCTTTTGGGTTGCTCTGAGTTGGCATCAACATGAAGACAAGTAATGGGTTTGATTTAGGCTTCAGTGCCATATGCATGTAGTATACTGTACTTTCCACACCAAATGTTTACCACACAACAGTGAATACTTCAACTCATTGGCAGCGGCATCAAATCTCAGGGATCACATGTCTCTTGAGTGTTGTTACCGGTTTAATTTTTAAAAAACATTTAACTGTGACATGCACCATGGCTCTCAAACGAAGCAAAACCAGGGCTAGTGATGGTGAGAAGCAGCAGCAGAGAAGTCTGGAAGTAAGGATGCGAAATCAAAAGTTATTAACATAAAGGTAGAATAATTGAGGCAGGTCACACTGGACAATCATGATGACCCTCAAAAACAAACACAAAACTTTCCAAGATGACTCGTGAAAGTTTTAAGACCAAGGAAAATGCAAGAGGGATCTCTATCAGGCGAAATTGTTAAAGGCATGGATTAAAGACCAAATAAAAAAATGGATCTCTCTCAGCATGCTGATGGTCCCTGCTAAAGCATGATAGTCCTAGGCCATCATCTTGACAGGAGCAGATGAACTGGGGCTTTTCTCCCCAGGAGCAGCAGGTGGGCTTGCACTCCTGACCTTGTAATTAGCAGCCAACATCAACTAGAAAATTTAGTTACGTATGAGGCTTCCGCCCTATTTTTATGGCACTGTGATATCATGGAAACCTGTATTCATCTTAAACTTAAAAGATGCTTTAGCCCTTCATTTTCAGGGTAACAGATGAGCCAAATAATAAACCTCTTCCCACCTCCCATTCCCCCAAAATAAGTATATTTGGCATAGACTGACCATTGTCTCTATATCTAACGAAGAGTTTGCCTTTACATATGACAAAATTTTTGGCCTACAAGATTTTTAGCCTACAAGTCTCCTTAAGTGGCAGGTGGGGAGCAAGTCCTGCTTCCGCCTCTCCTCCATTCCAATGCCAGCTGCTGCTCTAAGCAGCCATCTTGGACGAGATTGAGGGTCAGAATTTAGACATGGCAGTGTGGTGGGCTAGAAAGATTCCTTACATCTGTCCACATTTCTTCTACTTGAAAGAGAAATATCTTGTGTAAGCAGCTAATGTTATTTCAGGATTTTCCATTATACGTGGCGATTAGAAACTGACTTTTGGAAGTGGTATTAACAAACCCAGGGCCAAGGGAACAACAAGTGATCCAAAATCAGTGACAAGGAGGACATACGAGGCCTGGTAGGGCTTGATCAAGGGTACGGTAATCGAGAGGAATTATTGAAACCCAAGTGAAGGCTGAGCATGATAGTGGGACAAGAGGAAAATAAAAGGAAATAGAGGAAAGAACTAGGAGGCAAAGGGCATTTATAGAGGTCTAAATACAGACATGTACATATGTAAATATATTTATGATGATGGTAAAATAGACCTATGTGCATCTAGTTATAGGTTTAGTATTAAGGTAGCAGATGGACATTGGGCCTCCACTCAAGTACTCCCTCAATGTAAGAACACTTTGTTCTATTAAACTGGCATTCCATGATGCTCACCTTCCCTACACAATTGCTGAAGACAAAGTGGGTTCATAAGCAAATGTGGTGATGAAAGCTGATGGTGCCCGGCTATCAAAAGATATAGTGTCTGGGGTCTTAAGGGCTTGAAAGTAAACAAGAGGCCATCTAGTTGAGAAGCAACAAAGCCCACATGGAAGAAGCACACCAGCCTGTGTAATCACGAGGTGTTGAAGGGATCAGGTATCAGGTATCAGGCATCAGGCATGAAAGAACAAAAAATCACATCATTGTGACTGAAGGGGCATGTGGAGTGGGGACCCAAAGGCAACAGGACATTCCCTTACAGAAGGGTCACGGGGAGGAGAAGAGCCAGTCAGGGTGAAGTGTAGCAATGATGAAACATACAACTTTCCTCTAGTTCTTTAATGCTTCCTCCCCCCCACTATCATGATCCCAATTCTACCTTATAAATCCGGTTAGACCAGAGGATGTACACTGGTACATACAGGAACTGGAAGCGCAGGGAATCCAGGACAGATGATCCCTTCAGGACCAGTGGTAAGAGTGGCGATACCAGGAGAGTGAAGCGAGAGTTGGGTAGAAAGAGGGAACCGATTACAAGGATCTACATATAACCTCCTCCCTGGGGGATGGACAACAGAAAAGTAGGTGAAGGGAGACGTTGGACAGTGTAAGACATGAAAAAAAAATTTACAAATTATCAAGGGATCATGAGGGAGGGGGCAGGAAGGGAGAGGACAAATGAGGAGCTGATACCAAGGGCTCAAGTAGAAAGAAAATGTTTTGAGAATGATGAGGGCAACAAATGTACACATGTGCTTGACACAATGGATGGATGGATGGATTGTGATAAGAGTTGTACAAGCCCCCGATAAAATGATTAAAAGGAAAAAAAAGAAACTGACCTTTGAGTTAGTCTGGATGGACTCTATCAGCAAAGATAACTTCTTCTGCAGCTTCTGCAGGTCCTTTGAGACACTCAGGGGCTCCACGTTTGCCATCCTGAAAGCCACTTTAGTCTTCTCGAACCAGTGAGCTTACCAGGGCAGCAGGGTACAGCCAAGTCTCTCGCTGCTGCTGGAGGAAAACAAAAATGTCTTATAAACCATTCATAATCTCCACTGAATTAGTTCAAAAAGAGTCTCCGCTGCTGGAGGTGGATGTGAAGGAGGCAGGCAACTTGGCAATACTAATCAGCATTTCAAATGACACATCCTTTGATGTAGTCATTTATTTTCCAGGAATCTGAAGGAAATAAACAAGTATATCAAAATATATTTTAAAATCACCTAAGATATTACAAAGTTGTTTGTTGAGCCCTTGGGGTGTACCGAGCTAAATCTGGGCTGCTAACTGCTTTGAGTCAGAATGGACTAGATAAAAGCAAGTTTGTTTGGTTGGTATTACTGTCGGAATCTTTCTGTATACATTGCCATGAACATGGGACAGAAAGATGTGTAGAAGGGCATACAACAAAATGTTAGCAGTAGTATTTCTGAGAGCGTATTTATTCTGAAGCCTAACAAAATGCCGAAAAGCCAATGGACAAAAGAAAGCTGAATGAATATACTCTTCAATCTCATTGCTGGTTTCCTCTGTACAAAGCCTTTCCCAAACCACTGGGGCTCTCTTGCAGAGATCCACCAGGGCCACAGTGGTTTGGGAAAGGCTTTGTACAGAGGAAACCAAAAGCCTCTTCCCTATGCAGCCCTGCCTAAACTCCCACTCCTGCGCGGGCAGAAACAAACCAGCTGGGCTTACAGGTCCCTCGGGGACCTGGGAAACCCAAGGGTCACCTGGGCGGGTTAGGTGAGTCCCAAAGGGGTGAATGTCGGGGGAATGCCACCAGCCACAGGAGTGAAATCCACCACGGGGTCGTCCATCCCAGACTCTCCCAGACTCGCCCTCTGAGCGGCCTCTCTGGAACTCAGAAGTCCCCGAAAGGAGGAAGAAGCTAAGCAGAGGGTCGTGGAGGGCTGACCTCCCTTCTCCAGATGAATGGTGTGAACGTTGGCCTCTAGAGCCGCCCCTTCTTAATTCCCCAATAAAACACCCAGCCACTGCCACCCCTGCCCTCTGGGAGGCCGGGAAAAACGGCTGCCCACAACGTTCGGCCCGGTCTGTGGTTGAGGGGAGGCCACTGTGGGGGGCCACTCCAGGTGACCCTTCCCCAGATAGGGTGCTAATCTCCCTCTGCTCCTCAGGTGGGGAGGAAAGCGCCCTTCTCTGGGCACCCCAGGGGCGGAGGACAGGAGTGTGTACTGGTGAGGGTGGAGAAATGGGGGTCAAGGGGGGAGTGTGAGTAATTTGAGAAGTCTGCACCTTTGCACTGGGAACTCCACTCCTCTGTAGGGACTGGGGGGGCGGCCCTCCCTGAGAGAAGAGGGACAGAATTGGGGGAGCAGGGGAAGATACTCGCTTTGACTTATTCTCAGAACGAGCACTGTAGACAGGACGTCGCCCTAACAAGGATTCTTGCACAGGGGCACAGGGTCTCTAGGGTGTGGGATGGGCAACATTTTACCACACTCGGTGGTGACCATATGTGGGGGGAGGGTGGCGCGAGTGGGCCCCGTTTCCTCTTCCCAGTGCCTTCCGAGGGATGAGCCGGGGCCTATAGACAGGACCAAACGGCGCCCCGAGCTTCCGGAGGCTGTCGATCTTTCCAGGACCAGACAGCTTCTGCAGGGCAGCTGGTAGGTTTGGACCCCAAGGTTTAACGCACTGCGTTTTAGAACAACCCTTTCTCCCTCGGGGCGGCGATGGGTTCCAACGGCCGCGTCGCCCGTTGGCTTACCGGTCAGCACTTAACCCACGGCGCTACCAGGGCTCCTTCGGGAGGGACGAGCCATCCCTCACACTAGACTGGGGAGAGCGCGTCGCGGGGGGAGAGACCCTCCAGCCCCGGCCCGGGCGCTCCTCTAGATCCTCTTCCCAGAGGGGCGCAACCAAGGCGCCCAACACCCCGCTCTTACCTAGCCGGGTGCCGCCGGCGCGGACTCTCAAACGGCTCCGTGGGAGGGCGGAGCGACAGCAGGTACAGGCAGAGCCGGAAGGACCGCGCGGGTGGGGGCGGAGCCTGCGCCCGCCCCGCCCCGTCCCGTC